GATGTGGCATAAAATCTGTCTGTTTCTTTGACTGATTTCAAGAATCTTTTGACATATCACCTCAGTTCTGCAAATGATGCTACTTGGTTTGTTTTAATAAAATTTGTTATGGTCAGCTGTCGTACCAGGAAGTAGAACGATTAGGCAGAATTCCTTTTCCAAGCTTTGTTCAACCTGCGTCACATGTAGCAGTCAGGCATCCATGTTAAATTCCCGCTCAAGCACTTGTTCTCCTTCTCTCCTACCTACGTTCTCTTCTCCTATCCTATACTGACTCCTAGTGGTAGACACAACACAATCCTTCCTACAACGATGACAATCTTAAAGACTAAGTTCACTGAGAACCTTTTTCTTTTTTTTTTAGATACGATTGGCAAATCTGGGTTTAACATGCAGGCTGAACGTGAAAATACTCTTCTACCTCTATTTCCTGTGTTAACTACTGAAAGAAAATTGACAGGGAAACGCTTGTGTCAGAAACTCCTGACAGCGGTTGTAGAAGAGTTGCATTGCTGTTAGCCAATCAGAGGGAAGATGTTCAAATACCATGAATTATAATGAGTATGACCTTAAATCCTGCTGTTTTCTTCCCCCATCTTTTTCATCTAACTTTTGCTTCCTGAAACTGGAGCGCCAGAGCTTTTTTTCCACAGAAAGCGATGAAGGAATGAATTTATATTAAAGGTCAAATGAATTTAAACAAAAAAAATGAATGAATGAGAATACGCTTTTCCTCCATTGTTTTTTATTTTATTTTTTATTTTAACAGACCACTTAACCATTCTAAATACTGTGTGATCCCATCACCACCTCCTTGTTATTAAGGTTTGCCTCACTGAGTATGTTAAACTGCTGATAAGGCAGGAGAAATCTGGACAAACCACTCCAGCATGTTGATAAAGAGGTCTGGGGGCAGATGTGAATTAAAAACCAGCTAAAAACAGCAAGTTGTGTCCAATTACTACTCAAAGCTGGACAGTGATGTCATGTTGCTGCTGAAACTAGGTTGAGATGATCAGTTTCAGGGAATTAATGCATATCCAGAATGTCCAATAAATTAAGGAGTTCAGCAGCTGCAGAGCTCAGGTAGTCAATCTGTGGGTTGTATCCAGGCTTTCAGCTCTCCCCTGACAGTCTCCTCCCACATTTGGTATTGAGCAGGATCTCATATATCACTGCAACAAATAGGGTATGGTTTTGGCAGGTAAAATAAGGATGGATTGGTTGGGGCTGCATGTGATATATTACAGGAATTGACTATTAAGACACTGTTCGTCACAGTGGGTGAAAAACTCCATTAAAAATTTTCCGTTCCTATTTTAAAAACATAATTCCCTTTCTTGTGCAGTGCCGATAGAGATGTCACACTTATAGGTTTTCTGCTGCTAAAGGTTTACATCTCATTAATGATAATTGCAGCTTTGATCATTCTATTTTAAAAAATGATTCTAGATAATCCTAAATAAAGATGAAATAATTAAAATAACTCTAACCTGGTTTACCTACAGGGGCTCACTCTGCCTTATTCTCCTTTTGCTCCTCAACAATACTTGCCTGCCTTCATTGTTCAAGGATTTGCGGTATTGATTCCAAATTATACACGGCCCACCTCTGAGTCAACCCGGACTACAGCAAGAGGCCCGTGTTGAAACTGTCCTCCAATCAAAGCGCCGAGGACTTCTATTCATGACCTCCGGTGTTGACTAAGAGCCAGTATTTGAATCAAACTGCACAATACACAGTCTCCCATTTGGGACTAACAATGACTTTGAAATACAGCTGAGTTCAGGGAAAGGCAAATGTCTTTCAACATGATCAGACACAAAGATCTAATTAGCACTCATGTCCCATGCTGGGATGGCAGAGCTCCGGTTGTTTGTTGCACAGTTGTCAAGAGTGCTTTATTCTGCTCTCTTCACATTAATGAGATAATTATTTCTCCTCTTTTGTAACAGACTACTGTTTTATTTTTCATTTAATGCAAATTGTGCACAACAATTTGATAACCTGATGGACGTTTCAACACCAGTTCTGTATTTGATTTTCTGTTGCTTTACAACGATGCCCCATCATGTCGTTCATATTTTGGTTGAGGGTAGAGATCGATGGATGATTAGCAGCGACGCAAATCATGAGAGGTGAAGGAACTTTAATGGTGCCAGAAGCAGGAAGAACAGAGAGCAGCAATATCCCTTTATGGAGCAACAATTAGTGAATTGTGCTCAGCGCACCTCAACCACTAACAAACAAACCACTCGCCACTGATCACAGCAACAGCTACTCACACTACGCTAAGGGGACACTTAATCTGTTTTTCTGAAGACCCTGGAAAAGCTCCCCGTTTCCAACTGATTCAATCTGTTCGTGCACAGAGATGATCTTAGATATAGGGCGTTTGTTTGTTGCGGCACCTGCTCCCCAGTGCCAAACGCATCAAGCAGTGCTGCCTTTGGCATCCCGCCAAGGCATTTGTCCACAGTGTGCAGCAATCACACTGATCTGCCAAGTTATTAATTGCTTAATAATTGCTCGGGCTACTCTGCATTGCTCTCTGCTGCTGCTAGTTCATAATGCTTTCTGTCAGGTCAACGCCATTTGAATAGCAGCTGTGTGATTTGAGGTTTTTACCATTAAAAAAAGGATGTGAACAGTGATAAAAGTGAGAAAATGAAACAGTGGATGGTATAAATAAGAGATGGGACATGCGTATTGCAAACAGCATTTCTGTAGAGAGAAAGGCTTCACTCTGCTCTGAGAATCGACTTCCTTGTTGTTAGGGAATCAATGTTGAAGAAACCTGCAAGTTAATCTGTTTTTCTTTCGTTTTCTTTTTCCAGTAAATTTGAACTAAAGAGTGCACATGGGAGAATAAACCAACTGCTGTGGAAGAGGTTTTGTTTTGAAATAATAAAATGAGCTACAGACCTTTTTACAAGCCATTAATTCAGTGTTTTGTCTTACTTTGCTAGATTTTCATCCAATGCACTAATTTGCTGCAGGTCCCTGCCTGCCAATCCACCACCCAGCACTTCATTGGGTCCCCCCCCCTGAAGGTTCTAATAGAGCTCTGATCCGTACTATCACTCATTGTCAGAGCGAGGGCAGGTTCCAGTTTCATTATATCACTTTGAGTCAAGCATATCCTTTAGCGAACTAATTATACTGCCTATCAAAGTGATGACCCTATCGAGGCAATCTTTGTTCCTCAATGTCCGTTCGACTGACCGGAGGGGAAAAGAATCACACGTTTGACCTTGCCTCGTCAGATTATTTTTCTTCTCCTTGTAATTGTCAGAGTGTCAGAAATAACCTCTATGTGTCATGCTCGGTTGTTCAAATGGGATAATGTGTCAAGATGTTTTTGAAATGAAAGGAAAGCAACAAAAAATGGAAGTATTCTGTATATGATTATTTCACATTTTATTCAATTTCTTCATCAGATATTAGAAAGAATGCATCCTTTGTGGTTGGGAATGAGTTTGTGCCTCAAGCCGAGGGGTTTACGCATCTGGGTGTTTCGTCTACATGTTGCCATGAAAGTATGGAGCCAGAGATGGGCCAACAAGGCGGGGCTTTGTTTTACCGTAATGTTTGCTGTCATAGACAAAGAGTCACACTGACAGTAAAACCACTGGTCTGTCTACGTTCCAACCCTTACATATGGTCTCAAGATTTAGATCGACAAAATAAACCATAGACAAGAGAGTTTTCTCCAAAGGTTGGTTGGGCTGAGCCCTTTAAAAAGAAGATATGGGGTCCTTTGTCTGCAGGAAGTTTGAAGTAAAGCCGATGCACCTCTACATCAAAAGGAGTCATCTGAGGTGGCATCTGTTTGGAATACCAACTTCCTTTGGAGAGGCAGACCAAGGAATTTGTTTAAACGTACACTGCCCGGCCAAAATAAAGTCGTCACCTGGATTTAACTAAGCAATTAGATACGAGCCTGCTATTGGATAATTACTGCATGGGCCATGGTCCGGTGTCAGGAGTTTAATTTTAAGCATGATCTGTGTTTTTTCACTTTTCACTCTACTTCACCAGCAACTCTTCAAATTTTATTAATGCTGGTTGTTTTGGATGTCTGCTGATGTCATTTCCTACTGAGGTACAAGCAATCAGAGTGAGTTAACCAAAAGTTCTGCTCAGCTACTCCACCGGGCTATTCCGAGTACCTACTCCTGATCAGGTACTCCGAAGATTCCTGAAAACGGCCCGGAAAACGACTGTTCGGCCGGCAGCGCATGTCGGGAAGTTCCTATAAATTTTCCCCAAAGATACTGACTCACAAGGCATTTAATTATTCTAGAGACAACTGCTAATTTGTTGAACTTGGTTTTTATGGATGATCAACCTTAAAATGTGTCTGAAAAGATGCAGCTGGAGAGTGCTTTTTAATAGAGGGCTAGCCGAGTGCTCTTGGATGGAACTGGAAGGGAATGGATTTATGTGTGGATAGCCTAATGGAGGCATGACAAATTAATCAGAATTTTCTACCAACATGGGTACATTTTTAGAGGTATCAGTTCTGTAAAAAAATGTTTTCTTTTTCCATTCTGATAAATTTCCAGAAACTGGGAGTAAATAAACTAACAAAGTACTAGAAATCAATAGCAATAAAGCAAGTGGAAATTGTGTACAATGGTGCATTTAGTCTTTTCCTGAATACAGACATTTATTCAGGGTCTGCCCAGCGTATCAATGGTTTCATTTGGATGGGATTAAGTCCCACATTTCTCTCAGGCCTGAGAGACTTATTAGGAGATAGTCTGGCTATGGTGCGGGCACAAAAATCACGACGAGCAAACTGGGTTTACACTCATGAATGTGGAGGTCTGATGTCATGAGCAGCTAAAATCCTGGCTTTTTTCTATATTTTAATGCAAACATAATCTAAGCAGGACAAAGCCATTAAATTGATGTTTCTGATGTTAGCTTCCATGAATACCAAACAGAATAATCAGGAGCTTCTAACACTCCACTTATTCTGCTTGACTTTGCAGCGTGGAGCTGGATTTTAAACAGCAGGAGGACAAGCTGCAGCCCCTGATGAAGAGACTTTGCCCCTTGGACAGCAAACAATGCCCCGCGCTGCCTTATTCTAACGAAGTGTTCACATCCACCCCTAAACGCAAATCCAAGACAGAGTCCAAGAAGCATGCTCGTTGGAAACTCTGGTTCCTTTGAATGAAGCACGAAGGCTTTGGAAATGGCCATCTTAATGGGGCACAATCACACCCTGGGTATCCTCGGAAGGGTTGAAGGAAATATGCAGATGAGGATGATCAACCCATTCAAATGGATGATGCCGGAAGCCAGTTGATTTTGGGGCTCTGAGCACAGACTGACTGGTCATCTGGATGACAGCAGAAACGTAAAACATTATAAATTCAGTTAATTCTTTTTCTGGCTTGTTTGCTGGATTGAATCAACACTTCCAAAAAACCAGGTGAGCTGCAATTTACATATCGGTTCATTTGATGTAAGGTTAGTAATAAAAAGTAAGGACACTTGTGTTTTCTCAATTATTTCTTTGTTGAAACAATGTTCCTAGGCAATAAATCTTACATGGCTGGAAAGCCTAGCTATTTTCCATTAAATGGGGCCACATTAATAATGACACTTTATAAGGCATTTATTGGTTGATGACACTTTATAAGGCATTTATTGGTTGAGCAGCAGAACTGAATATATGAGATTTTCCCATGAAAAGCAGCCACGTCTTCTCTTCCAAGCAGCTTATTCTGCGATTACCTCTTATCTGAGGCAATTTAAAGAACTGGGTGATTGAATTCCAAAAACACAAGACCGTAAATCCAGATTCTTCCAATGGTAGTTAGAGAAGCTCAAACAACAGTAAGCTGGAAGCTCCACCAGTAAGGTTACAGGTTTTGGTCAAGACAGTGACATCATTATAAAAAATTATCCAATGCAAGTGTCAGTAGATTAAACTGCATGGCATCGGCAAAGATTTCTCTTTCTTTTTTCATGATAGTCAACTCAGCTGCTCAGCCTACAAATGCATGTGGAACACTGAAAACGTATTTTAATTATTATTCCTGATTATAAATGGTTACTCTGAGGCTCAACATGAAAATAGTCTCCTACACCTATCTCCTGCATTAACTTCTGAAAAACAATAGACGGTGAAACGATAGGACTTGAAAATCGGGACAGATCTACATCACGCTGTCACTTAACATTCATGGACTCACCCATCTTGACTCATGACGGGGAAGGTCTGTTGTTGGTTTAAAGTCCATGAGACACCAGAGAACATCTTGGCTAGTAGAAGCTAACTCTTAGCATTGGCTGCTCCATCACATGCAGAACTCCTCCAGGCTTGAGTTAAGCGTAGTTTATGCGTCTGCGTCGGTACAGAGACACATAACTCCATTTTCCGTAATTGCAAGGGTTCCCCAACAGACTCGCAAGGACAGACGGAGTCGAGCCCACATTTCTAAACATCCGTTGAACAAGATGGAGAGCACAAGCTTGTGGTTGGTCAGGACACCGCTTCCTTTAAATTCTGTTGTCTGAAGCTCTCCTCTAATCTGGCAGTTGGCTAGTCCCTCAAACTGGCGTGACCCCACCCCCCCACCCCCACCCCAAATGTACTGATTAAAAGTGTGTTTCACACCTTTAAAAGTGTAGCACCAACAGGAGGTTGGATGGACAGCATTATCCAATGTATTTTTGTGCTTTTCTCCCCTTTAGAGCATTTTACTACAAGAGGAGGTGCTGCGCAGTGGACCATGAATAACAGAAGCTATACTCTTTGAATGGACATCAGCCCCAACTTCAGTAAAGCACAAATCAATCAAAAATCTAAATATGTGTAAAAGACTATCAGCGCTGTTCTTATAACCTTGTACTATCCCCTCCGCTTTTTTCCTGTTTTTATAACTTGCTTCTCATTTGATTTTCTCTTTTCTGATAGATTGTCTGCTAAAATCATGTCTTTCTAGCTCTGTCTCTTTTCTCTCAATCCCTGTCTTTAGCTCACCGTGCAGACGAATAGCCAGGAAACAGATGTTTCTCATCTGGCTATAGTCACATTGAGAATCTATATTTTACAAAATAATAATCTTTTTAACAATTTACTGTGAGAACAGATTTTACAGCTTAAATATTGTGACTTCTCAATATTTTGAAATTGAAAGCAATTTTTCTGTGTTTCAGTTTTTTTTTTTTTTTTCATTTTTCATCATGACAGCCTCACAACTTCAACAAAATTTTAATTAACAGCTGCTACATTTTTTTGTTTTTCTTGTCACACATAAAGGCTTTTTAAGCATTTCTCAGTCCACCAAGTGTTACTTTAATTCTCTTACTGAAGATGTTGCAGCTTCATAGCAAAACTGACTTCCTGTTTAACATCCAGTTCCATAGGTGCGTTCATTTTTCTTGCCGTTCTGCTAGAAACGCAATGTATTTTTGTTTTCTTGTTTTCAGCATGGCTGCACAGTGGTTAGAGCTGTTGCCTTGCAAGAAGGTCCTGGGTTTGCTTCCCAGCCTGGGATCATTCTGCAAGGAGTTTGCATGTTCTCCCTGTGCATGCGTGGGTTCTCTCCGGGTACTCCAGCTTCCTCCCACAGTCCAAAAACATGACTGTTAAGTTGATTGGTCTGGCTAAATTGTCCTTAGGTGTGTGTGTGTGTGTGTGTGTGTGTGTGTGTGTGTGTGTGTGTGTGTGTGTGTGTGTGTGTGTGTGTGTGTGTGTGTGTGTGTGTGTGTGTGTGTGTGTGTGTGTGTGTGTGTGTGTGTGTGTGTGTGTGTGTGTGTGTGTGTGTGCGCATAATATTTTGTCCTGTGTGTCTCTGTGTTGCCCTGCGATGGACTGGCACTCTGTCCTGGGTGTACCCCGCCTGATTGCCCATTGACCGCTGGAGATAGGCACCAGCCCCTCCGGAACCCTACATGGACAAGCGGGTTCAGACAATGGATGGATGGATGTTTTCAGCATCAGAAATGTGTCTGTCAGCCCACACAAACAACTGTGCACTGAACTTGCAAGAGCAGAAAGGGCTACATAAAGAGCTAAAGGAGTAATTGCTCAGCAGGACACACTTGTAGCTACCAGCTTTGGTCATGTATATAAAAACAAAAAACTGAAACACTGATGATGTAGCAGCAACACGCAGCTCGTGACAAAGCAGGTACTGATTGAATAGGAAGCCTTTTGTAACTTTAGATTCGGGGTAGATCATTTTAAATGTTAGGAGAATAAATGCTGGGCTCTCTTCAATAGAATAAACAATGGGTGGCACTATTCAAGCCACTATTATCCATTCAAAGAGCCGTACCTTAAGAAAGTGCAATTTAATTATGTGCAATATTATGCATTTTCTACTGTTTTTAAAACCTCAATTAAAACATTTTCAATTGAAGGTGTTCTGGTGCGTTATGTCTGCTGCAAAGGTTAATGGAATGTTGTTGGAATGGAGAGCCATGGAAAAAAATGTGTTGAATCATCAGCAGATTTTTGTATTGATGATAAGCTGAAGTTATGTTCTATGATTGACTCTGGGTTACATTTAAATTGTTCACACCTAAATATATCTAATTTGGGAGAAAATTCTTAAATAAGTCACTTATATTATTTACCACACGTAAAATGTACAAAACATAATTAGTTTTATTGACCCAGTAAAATAATTGCTGACATTATTCCTCACATTTTGTACAGCAATGCTTGAAAATCTGTTATAATTCACAAGATGCAAGAGGAATATTTTTTATCCATGCAACTTTAAAAAGTTTATGGTGTATTTGAACTGTTAAGGTGGTATTGCATTAAGCTGCTTCATAGGGGAGTGTTCAGCATGTCTTGAAACATTTCGAAGGTTTCTGAATTCCCTTGAGTTAGTTGCAACAACTTGATATAAAGTAGCTGGAATTTTGAACATGTTAGAAGTACTCTTGCAAAATAGTCACAGAGTCGTTCAGCCATTGCAACAAATATGGAGACTTTCCGAGAGAAGAACGTAGCCATTAAAAAGGAGTTACCTGCAAACCAATGGAAATTTAACCAAGACTCTAGCAATTATATTGCACTGCAGTCACACAACTGTTGCAAGATGTTTGCAATTATGTAATGTTAATCATGTGACCTGATTGTTTAAAAACTTGATTTAGGTCAGTAAATTAGCACAATTTCATTAAAAAAATGTTGTTGTTTTGCAATCCAACAGTAACATCCAATCAGGATAATGGCTTAACATTTTTTTATTCAAAATATGCTAAAATGAACTCAGTAAGCACAGTTGCAGTAAAATATTTTAACTTTTAACACATTTATTGCAGCTTTAGTCACTACTGGACTTATTTGTTGTATATTTTCCCTGGCAATAGGGGGCAGCACATACCTAAATTATTGCAAGCAAACTGGATTTTTGTCTTTGAGTAAGATCTTACCAATGGATGGCCATTAGGGTCAAAAATCCCTGGGAGTGCAACCTCCAGCAAAATAACAAGCACATCAGACTCCCTTTCATCACTTGCAACGAGTGAAGAGGTAAATGTGTAAAACCATCACATTTATCAACGGTGAAAGTTTTGTAACCGTTTGTTACAGATCAGTAAACACATTTTGTCCCCACGGGTTCCCGTAAAAAGGAAACATGGCGTCTAATATGGCGTCGCCCAGAGCCGTAGACCCGCTCCCATGTATTTTAGACCCAATTTTTATGGTTATGTTACAAAGCCGCCAATATTTCTCAAAAACTGGGCATCATTTGATTAATTTTCAGCAACATTTTGATGGATGTTTCCAGAGATTATTGGTAAAAGCTGCACATTATCTCTTCAAATTTTGATCTATTATATACATTTGAAAAGCTGATCAAATTCCAAACTCCTCCTATACATTTACTTCTGTAAAAGAATTTAATGTCATCTTAAGTAAGTGCTTCTGCAAACTGCTTCATATTTTGTCCACAACAGGATGTCATGAGAAAGTGGTGTATAGACAAAAGTTTTAGGTAAACCAGGGTAAAAATGACCAAACAGAAAACCTTGTGTTTAAATAATGTTTAACAGACATCAATCCTCAGCTTAATTAGTTGATTGTTGCTCTGCAAGGGAGGGTTAAAAAACAGTCCTACAGTATGTTTGGCCCCCTCAAGGACAAAAGTGATTTACCATGACCACCTGTCCTGCTTCGACAGACTCAGTTCATTTGCATGACAGCGTTTGCACCAAGTGCCACATATTGCCATGGAAGGTGTGTTGCAGTGCTGACACCAAAGGGCACTGTGTGCATATTTTAGAAACACTATCAGCTTTGAAAAAAATGGCAGAACTTGACCTTTGATAAAAGGATGAGGAAAATGCTGTTGGTAGTTGGTGTGTTTAAAACTTTGTTCCGAGTGCCATTAATGCTTGTCACACTCACAGTCCATGTTTTCCTCAGACTATGATGAGGGCTGAGCAGCTGTGAAGCTGTGCTTGCTCCCTGCATCTTCAGATGTGATTCAACAGAAAGAAGACACGCGACCCTCAAGTCTTGCAGGGGAGATACAGTTCTAGTCCATCAAACTGAGTGACCCGATCCCACATCCATCCTTCGCTCTTTTCATCACTACTGTGTCTTTCTTCATTCCCTTCAGGATATTGCTTTTGTTTTTATTTTAACATTTACACCCTTCTATCATACCCTCCTCTTGTTTTTATACATATTTTTAAATTTTTTTTCTCATTTCATTTGACTTTCTCAGCAACCTTCCAGCATCATTTACTTAATGCATACAGTAGATGCTCTTTAATATTGACTTTTTGGACCATCAAAGCTCAAAAACAACATGATCAATCAATATTATAGGAACAGACAGGAATACATGCAAGTAGAAATATTTATAAAATAAGGAATCTTGTAACAAAAGATACTCAAAGATTTAAAGGTGTGCAAATACCTTTGAGCTTTACAGATTAGACATTTGTGGCTTGAAAGCAGTAGTGGAATATTGCTACTCAGCAGCATGTTCATAATCAAAGCCTAACATGACAAAAAAGTGTTATTTCACATCTACCAATAGGATTAGTACATGTTTCAGTTTCTGTATCATTCATGAATGTTTTTGTTTCTGAAGTTTCTATTCATTACTTCTTTCTTGTGGCTCAAAAGAGCCAAGAAGTGTGGTGGCAGCTGCTGCCAAGAGCAACTGTTAGGACTAAATAACAGCGTTTGACCTTTCTCCGTTTCAAAGCTTCACACTGAACACATGGCAGTGATGTCACAGAATAATGACCACAGCATTTCTGCAGCCAAAAGAGAAGTTCAACTCCTAACTTCCTCTTCTGGAACTGGTGACGGAAACTAAAGCTCACTCTGCTTGCAGAGTCTTCCTGTAAAATAAAATACTGCATTGCAGCGGTGAGGGGACTTCAAAAACACCACAACTGACTAGCATTGGTCCCAGCAAAATCTCTAGCTATCATTTTTAGTAAATATTTCATAAATAGAACCGTATAAACAAATAGTGCATAAAATATTAGCATGTGTACAAGACATTAGGGTGTAAAAAAAGGATCACATCTTTGTTTCTCTTGATGTCGTTGGTCTCTCTAAGATTAGTGCTTTCTGGGTGGTGTTACGAACGCTCTTGAGGAAGACCATAACATTGGACCCTCCAGTCCCGGTAGTGTTGAGAGCAGAGCCCACCCCCCTGAGGGGGCAGCCCATAGATCGGACTTGGTTTCCTGGCACAATGACATACTTGGCAACAGTATTAAGGTGGTAGCTCCGTAAATCAGCCAGGGCCGAGACGCAGGAGTTGTAGGCCTGGTAGAGGTCGGAGCTGGAAGACTTAATGACAAAGTCTCGCAGTGACCGACACACAGACAGAGTTTCTATCAGCTGACGGTGTGCAGGAGGCATGTAATCTCTCATGCGTGTCAGGAAGTCTCCTAGATAGGGTCAATTGATAAAGACAACAGAGAGGAGACTGTGAAAGAGTGAAAATAACATCATCTCCCGGAAGTATTCTCTGCCAGAAATTATCGACTGACTGCACAAACTGCACAAATTCATTCATCACAACCCTCCGAATAGGTTAACAATGGAGGGAAATGCCTCTTTACCTGTCTCACCCTCGTGCTGGACGCATAGCAAAGCATCAAAGCACTGAATTGAGGAACTCTGGGCTGCACTTCCACCCGATAGGGAAATGGGCTCATTGCTGACTCCTTCGTACAGCACCCCTCTTGGAAGCATGGGGTTATCTCGCCACCTAAAACAATTTGAACGAGTTCCTTCAAGTTTCAAGGTGGTATCTTAAGAGATAAATCTTCACCAGATGAAAGAAGGATAAAAAGAGATAATTAAAAATGTCAATATGTGGAACATGGCCCCAAAACTCACCCCGAGAGAAAAATTCTCAGTGTTCCATGAAATGCAGCTGGCTCCACATGATCTGAACAGCACAGAGGTTGAGTCATTTTAATTACTTTCAAGTCTGCAGTTTTAATAAAAGGCACAGCATGTTAACTGGTTTAATTCACATTGAAGTAGGTTTAAATCAAAATTACTGTGCATGAGTTGGAAAGTTTCCTTCATCTTCTTCAAAGACTGCGTCACTTTGATTAGACCCTTCTGTATGCCGATAAGATCTGAGACTTTCATGGCATGCATCACCTCCAGGGCCCCCTGGTCAAAGTTTAAAATCTACCGTTAAGTTACAAGAAGCAAAGATTCACACAGTATCTGCATGGGAGGCAAACAGGAGAGGAGACAAAATAGAAACGTAGGGCTGAAGGCTGGGCCATCTTTGGGCTGATAGAAAAAAGAGGAAGCAGATAGGACTGACCGTTATGCCTGAACTGGCAGCCATCTCCACCAGTAATGACACCATAAAAAATCCCCTGCAGCTTTCCCCACCAGGAAAGGAAAATATCAGGTCCATGTTCCTATTTTTTATTTATTTATTTTTTGGACAAACATCATATAAATGGTTAGACAGTAAGTATCACGAGTGTTGACTGAAAGTGAGAACAGTCCTTTGTCCTACTTACCCAATTTCCATGTCCCTGAAACAAAAGTGAAAGAACACTGCCATTATTTTGGTGGGAAAAGATTTATTGAGACACAATATTGCGTATTTACACCACAACAACGTTTTTTATGAACATAAAAGTTACTCCAATTACCCAGTGGGATCCTTTAACTTCCAGTTGGCTAAAACTGAATCTGCGTAGGTCAAGATGGGCGGAAGTCCAAGTCTGCGAGAAATGTTCCAGTAAGGCCAGGCCAGTGCTTTTGGGAGAATCTGTTAAACCATCATAAAAGTAAAGGTCAGTTTAGAGATCATTTTTAAAATGATAACTGTATGTTTCTGAGCATCTGTTTTTCTGCTCAGCCCTCAACCAGTCAATACTATTTATCTAATCTGTAAAAACTGATGTTCCCAGAGGACATGTCTGAACCCAATGACTCTTCTGATGTTTTTAACTCATTGGTAGGTTTAAGGTTTTACTTCGGCTCATAAATACTAAATGAATAAGTGGTTTAATACAAAAGTTAAACATTTTCAGACAAGATATCCTGAATAGCATCTTGTCTTCATCAAGATGAAATACATAACTCCCTATTTTTGTGCTAATTGACAAGCTTAACTTATAGGATGCATTCTATTTCAATTCAATTCTGTTTATTTATATAGCGTCAAATCATGACAAGAGTCGTCTGAAGGCACTTCACAAAGTAAACATTCCAATTGAGTTCAGGTAATTATGCCAATTAGTTGAAAGTTTCCTATATAAAGAACCCAGCCGAGTGCATCAAGTCACTGACTTGTTCTGTCAGGGACTTTACAGCAATCCCCATAACAAGCAAACAAGTAGCAGCAGTGGGGAGGAAAACGCCCCTTTAACAGGATAAACCTCCAGAGGATCCTGATTCAGTATGAGCAGATATCCGTCATGACTACCAAAATCTTGTTTTATTAGAATGAGTCTTTGACGTTAAAGTATTTAAAGGTTACACATCTGATTCCCTCATAATGGTGAGTTATTCAGCTTTAAGACCAATAAGTTAAGCTCCTAATAGGGATGTAAGAAAGTGTTGATATACTGAAATATCACAATATTTCCTGTTATCATTCTGTATTGCTATTCAAAAACAGTGTATCAATTTTTATAGAGCATTTACATGCAAGCATTCACTGTTTTTTTTTCATGGAGTGCAATTCCAACTCTGACCATAACCCCTCCTTTCCACCAGAGCCATCAGCAGCAAGTTACTGCAGCAGCACGTCTTGCTTGTGTAAGCTGCTGCTTGCCCCTTCCCACAAGACGCGAAGCAGCAGGGGAGCAGCTGTAACTGACAGAGCACGAAGTCATGCGACATTAGCAAAATCATGCATGACTTTGTCAGTAAACACAACAAGAAACAGGAAAAAACTACTACATGGCTCACATAACTCACCATCTTGCCCCAAAACCGCAGATACGCCACTCCATGCGTTATCCTTCTTGACGTTGTCTTTATAAAAACTGTGACTGGGATCAAACAGGATTGGGTACTTCTCTACTTCAGTAATCAACCTTTCGTCATCCATTATGGAAAAACAAAGGAGACCGCTAGCTAGGTGATAACTTTTTTATTTAAAGTAAACAATCGGAAGGCAGTATGTTTCTTTAATCTGAAAATCTCGGGAAGCTTCGCACCATTTCCGCGTCCGATTTCCTGTCTTTCCTTCCCCAAAAATGTCGAACTTGACCCGTTTCAGAGGCGTCGCGTGTAGAAAATAGAACCGGCGCGTAAGGGCCGCGACATGCTGCTCCTGAGACGCGGCCGACTCGCGCTGCTGATGGCTCCGGTGGAAAAGGTTCTGTTGACCACAGCGGTTCCTATCAGCAGCTATGACGTGCTGCTGCAGTAACGAGCTGCTGACGGATCCATCACGGCTCCGGTGGAAAGGAGGGGTTAGTCTACAACAGTTTCTACCACCTTCTTTCTGATGCAACAACAAGATCCTCCGATAACACTGAATGTGTCTTGCCTGACTTTTCCAGTTGGATTCTGTCCTAAAAATCGCAAATATCGTCTGGCTTTTAGTATTAATTTATCAAATCGTGCATCGTACCCTGTATTGTGATTTTTATTGTATTGCCAGATTCTTGCCCACACACACCTCTTGTTCCTAAACACTGATGCATACATCACTGGAGAACAAAGATTTCCCAACTTTATATATATTAGATACCATACCATCCATCCATCCATCCATCCATTTTCATCCGCTTATCCGGAGTCGGGTCGCGGGTGCAGTAGCCTAAGTCGAGAGGCCCAGACTATACCAACTATAGTATCATGAACATAAGAAAAGTGCTAATGTCAATCATGGGTGAAGAAAGTGAAAGGAAAAGACGTCATCAGTCACACCCATTGTTTTGTGTTTCTTTCCTTTTCTGTGTTTTTGTGACCAGATGAAGACCTGAGAATATAAAAATTGTCCTGCACAGTTGCAGTGACCTGTGACAGACACAGTGTCAGCTCAGCCACATTGAGTTAGAACTGGAGTTATTTGTGTGATTTTATCAAGGAACTTTGACTTTATAGGTTTTAGTGTTTCCAAAAACTGTGTGAAAGTCTTATTAAGACGACTTGTCAATAAAGAGGTATCTCAACTTCAGCAGAAACATTAAAGCTGCCTTAAGCCTCACAGAGCAGCTGGCAAATACCGATGTGGCGCTGTCGGAATGACTAAAACAGTATTTCCTCTAAAGTTGAATCCTCTGCAATGATGTTTACCTGACCAGGTGCTTGTTGTCCCTCCTGCCACACGTATCCCATGCTGATGAACCCCAGGGCCAAGTGTGCTAGTCTGAGCTCCCGATGGTTACTCAGCAGATGGGGACTCAAAACTGGCATCTGAATTAAAATCAGATTTAAACACTTACTGTAAACACCACCGGATTTCTGCTGCTGAAACTGTGATGCTATACTGCAAAGAATATCTCTTCTGAGTTTGTTTTTCTGATGAACTTTGCTTACTCTTACCTTATGAACCCGATCTCGTAGCTTGCGTGACTCTATTAAATGTGTCAGATTATTTGCCAAGTCCAACCACACGCGATAATAGTCTGGAAGGTGAGTCTAGAAGATAATGAGAGTAAAATGACTTGCTCATTGATTTTCTTCTGAGTGTGTGAGTGTGTTGTGCATTTTTATGCTGATTATAATCAGTATTATTATCATCAGCTCATGTCTGCCACAGTGCCTGACCTACATGCCAGAGAATGATTGGTGTTATCAGTCAGAGGCAGAAACAATGTAATGAAAGCGGAAATAAATAAAGTTTGAAAATCATCAGGGAAGCTAAATCAGGCCCATTCCTACTGACTAGCTCACAAGACTGAAACGAATATCCAAATCTGGTTCTTTTTTAGCAAATTGAGCTCCTTTACATGAGTCATGTGAAAAGGCAGTCTTCCACTGGATCAATAACCTCCCTAAACATTACACAAGAACAACCACACTTATCTGTTTCAGTCTACAGGGACTACTAGTGCTGCTGACCAAACACTTAGATCAAGGCAGTAGAAGAGAAAATAGTGCTTAAGGGTGAACAAAATAAATATCAGCTTGTGCAGAATGAGCATTACTGGTATTCTTCGAACATTTGAAGGATGTCTGCTGTATTAGAGAAGGAAAGGATGACAGTAAACCTCACCAGTGGCTCCTCAAGGATAAATCCCAGCTCTTCAGATAAATCAAATGCATCAAAGTCCGCCTGCAGTGTCTCTCTGTAGTTCGTCTCCATATGCTCTGCTCTGTACTCCAGCTTGGCTTTGAAAAGAAAATTGCTCTGTGAGCCTGACTCAAAGATATCAATTGTTAAACTTGTTCTGTGCTTGCTTCCACTATCTTCGTCACATCCCTTTTTATTGCACTCTCTCTACTGCAAAGAACCAATCAGATTTCTCGCGGAGTAATGTCAGGACTTCAAAGGAAAAAAAAGTCTGCTTTGCATAGTCTGCAGTGTTCCTTCCCATTTTTGTGGCTACTGTTTAAATAAACTGAAAACAGCAGTGGTGGCTGTAAGGTAATACAAAATAAACAGTCTACCAGTAGAGCTGGTAGACCTCATGCAGAGAAGGACGGTGAATGCACGTTTGTTAAGGAGTCCATGTGGAAAATTAGAAAGGCTAGAAGCTTGGGAGAAACAAAAATGGTTGCTAAGAAATCATAAAAGTCTCTAGAAAAATATAACACATCTATAAACTAAGACGACAAGTGCTGTTGTCAGGTAATGGCCAAATTGTTGTCCAAATGCATCTTCATTGTGCAGCATGTGTGGTAAGATTTGGGCTTTAACATAATTACAGTGATGCAAATTTCTCAAACTGTAATTTAATATAACAACTGTATAGACGATAGACAGTATATGAAGATGTAATTGAAGGGAGAACAATTGAATTTATTTGAAATTGGAAACTGATCTTTGAGCTTCTATAAAGCATATGAAATTTTGTTGGTGCCCCAAATGTCCCAGGAGCCCTGATAAATGACCAAAATAATTTGCATAATAAGACTCATCATAAAAAGACCTGTTTCCCCACCATTCCACCAATGTGTGTGTGTGTGTGTGTCTGTGTGTGTGTGTGTGTGTGTGTGTGTGTGTGTGTGTGTGTGTGTGTGTGTGTGTGTGTGTGTGTGTGTGTGTGTGTGTGTGTGCGTGCGTGCGTGCGCGTGTGTGCGTGCGTGTGCGTGTGTGTGTGTGTGTGTGTGTATGTGTGTGGTGGTGGGTGGGAGGTGGTGGCGCGCGTGTGTGTAGGGGGTGTTGAGTGCCGATTCAGCCGACAGGGAAAGGGTTTTGAAGAGAGACAAGTGAAAGCGGAAACTATACCAAGACTTGTATGAAATTAATTAATGGATTGCATAACAAAAAGGCATTTTAAAAAATTATAATTTCACTACATATAAATTGTTTGAATTTAATGCATATTTTTGCACCCTAGCATTTGTTCTGTGTTAAACTTTGTATGGACCCACTGAAAAGCGATGTCACGTGCATCCCCAGCCTCTAGCTTGAGGGTAAGTAGCCGGCGTCTCCCCATTGACCATCGTTGTGTTTTTCTGTTAGTTGTAAATAAACAGTTAAATAGTGGCAAAATAAAGTGAATCAGCTTCGTTACCACAGATAGAGCTATAGGCTGCACAAGTAAAAGAAAGAAGGACAATAAACATTAAATTTTACAGGTTTCTAGCTGTTAAAATACATTGAAGGCAAACAGCCATGTAGAGAATCCTAGTGGATAAACCTCCCACATCGTGTCAAAGAAAGTCTCATGATAGAATAGTTAAATTAAAAAAGTTAAATATCTAACCCATATACCCATACACAAAGCATGTTATAGCTTTTTAACAACCTACAGGCTTTTTTATAAAATCATGTGGCTGTGGGGCACGAGGAGCCGGGGGAGAAGCGCTGACCGTGTGGAGACAGCAGCGGGGAGGGGAACTATGCTGCTGATCAGTCCTGAGAAATAAACATGTCAAGCGGTCAACGCCAGTGTGGTGTGTAGTTCTGTGTGTGACCTGCCATAACAGTCTTGCTATAACAATTACACAAAATGTGTTGTGTAATTGGAGTGGGCTGAAATAGACCCACTGCAATTTGCACATGAACTAAACATAGGGGTGGAGGACACGCTTATCTACCTGCAGCGCCGGCTGCTGGCCCACCTCGAGATGCAAAATGCACTGTGAGAGTGATGTTCTTCGACTTCTCAAGTGCCTTCAACACCATCCACCCATCTCTACTGCAGCAGAAGATGAGGGATACAGGAGTGGATGAACATCTGACTGCATGGACATCAACCACCTCATTAACAGGCCACAGTACGTGAGGATGCACAACTGTATGTCTGCGGAGGTTGTGTGCAGGACTGGAGCTCCACAGGGTATGGTGCTATCACCCTTTCTCTTCAACTTCTACACCTCGGACTTCACCTACAACGCCAGCAGCTGTCACCTCCAGAAGTTCTCTGATGACTCAGCCATTGTCGGCTGTGTGTTTGAGGGGAATGACCTGGAGTACAGATCAGTCATCATGGACTTTGCGAATTGGTGTGAGCATAACCATCTTCGCTTGAACACCAGTAAGACAAAGGAAATGGTGATTGACTTCCAGAGAAACATTCCTTCTCACTCACCAGTAAACATCCAGGGTCCAGATACTAAGGTGGTGGATACCTTTAAGTACCTTTAGTGTTCACCTCAACAGTAAACTGAACTGGTCCAACAACACAGATGCTCTGTATAAGAAGGGCCAAAGCCGCCTCCACCTCCAGAGGAGGCTGAGGTCCTTCGAAATTAATTCCCATCTGCTAAAACCTTTCATCACTCTGTTGTTTGCCCTGTTATTCACTCTGTTGGGGTGCAGGCAGCTCTAATTGAGACAGAAAGAGAATGAACAAGCTAGTTTAAAAAGTTAGCTCAGTTTTGGACTGCCTACTAGATTCAGTTGAGGAGATGTGTGAAGGGAGAATGCTGAGGAAGATCAGCTCTATCTTGGAAAACCCCTCCCACCCACTGCATTTCAGTGTGGAGGCCATGGACAACTCCTTCAGAGGCAGACTGAGTCATCCAAGATGTAAAACAGAATGCTACCGTAGGTCATCCCTCTGCAGTAAGAGTCTTAACTCCTCAGTTTAACTGGTATTGGTATTATCCTACTACACAATAATATCAATGCAATACTCAGTATGTGTTCAATAATTGTGCAATACCAGGGAATTTCCCCACTGTGGGATCAATAAAGTCAATTCCATTGCATTCTATTCTATTCTAATGTCATTCGTTTTGTGTGTTTACGTTGCTCGTCAGAATAAATGGAGCTTCCAACGACCGTTGTCACGGCGATCCTTCAGAATTAACCCGCAAAATGTAGAAAAGATCCAGTAACACATTCGTTGTTTTAACTGTGAGATGTGCAAGCGACCGCTTCTGAGGACTGTCGTCCCCATAGCTCACTAGCTATTTTAAGCGGATCCGGAAGCTTAATGCTAAACACTATTAGCTTTGAAATTTTAGTTATTCTGCACAAAGATGTGTTAAATGTTCTAAAGTAGTAATATCTAAACCCTTATATTTTATTTGATTAGCTTCAATCACAGTGATGCAACTATGGTTAATAGCTGGAGACGGGGTTCTTGCCCTCCAGCTTGTGTGGATGTACGCAGTTACCCGTATGTAAACAATAGCTTTCTATGAGTTTATACATTTTGCGATTTTGTATACTTTTCAATTAAGTTCTGAAAAAATAAGTCCCCTCTCAAGCGATGAGTCAAGAATGTGTGTGCGACAAAGGCCGGCTGCTTGAAGAAGGGTTGCAAACTAACAAGGTAATTAATGAAAAAGTTAACTATTAAAATAAAAGCAGTTGCTCTGACTTGATGAAAAAGAAACTTTTTTATTCATTTAACGGTGGAAAATGCTAGTATTTTATCAGTTTTGATCAAAATGTGACTAAATATAATACAAGTAATGTTTTTCGTTGTTATTTAAGGAACAAACTAGACTTTAAGTTTTATGTCAGGTTGTTTAACCGTCTGTAGAAAAAAGCAACGCTTGCTGCCATGATGCAACAGAGTACGGTTTTGTTCCAAATGCCTTCATTGCATAGGCGTCATTTTAACCGGGGACACCGGGGCATGTCCCCGGCAAAATTTGTGATTGGCAGCTGTGTCCCCCCACTTTCAAAAAAGCCTGCTGATGAGGATTTTTGTTTTACCAGCTCAGATCTTATACCAGGGGTCGGCAACCTATTACCCATTTCCCACAGTAAAGAAAACACTGCAGCAGTCGCAGCGTTGTGGGTGGGGCCTAGCCTCAGACAGCAGAGAGCTGCTCACAACAGGTGACAGCAGCCGGTACCGGTCGCTCGCATGGGCGTGGCACCCGTGGGGGATTCAACACCCACACTTTTCCAGCTGGTTTGCTCACCTCCACACCAGTCTGGTTTCTTTAAGTCGCACTCATTCTGTTTGCCTCATCTCCTTCTTCACCTCCCGCTTCTGACAGCCGATGTCGGGTTTCCAGGAGAGCAGGAGAGGGAGGGACGGAAGAGCTCGACTGAATTCATAATTTTACATCTTGACATTAGCTGTACAAAGTCTGAGTTTGATAAAGTGGAGAACAACAATGTGCAGAGGATTATAACAGGCGCGGCGCCAGGTTTTCATTTTTGGGTGGGCCACGGTAATTTTGGACGGACCTTAATAAGCAGTGACTTAGTGAAGCAGGCAGGTCGGGCTGGAAAATTTAGTTTAAAAAGACGTCATAAACGTGTTCCCCCATCATTTTTATTTCTAAAATATAAAGAAAAAACTCCCAGTTTAATTTTCATTCATTTGTCATTAATATGTAGTCTACACCCGTGCGTTAAGTGGACCATCTTCCAGTAAAAGCAAAGCATCCAGTCCACCTCTCCAAATGCGTAAAATGTGCATCAGCCGCTAGTTAGGCGCGGCACGCGCACCATCAGCTACGTCAGCCCAGACAAGAGCAGAGCAAATAGAGAAAGAATAGAGTATAATTCTGTCTGGATGTGGATGGAGATTACATTTTACAGCAGCCTGATCATCATTTAAATACGTAAACCATCACCTGTCTTCTAGTCCATGCCGTCAGCATTATTTTAATTGGTGTGTGTGTGTGTGTGTGTGTGTGTGTGTGTGTGTGTGTGTGTGCGTGTGTGCGTGTGCGTGTGTGCGTGTGCGTGTGTGCGTGTGTGCGTGTGTGTGTGTGTGTGTTTTCCACTTCAAACACTGGTCTAACCAACCAGACCAGCGTACCCAGTAACACATTAATGTTACAATTAAACAGTTTCACTTCAT